TCTTTGTTGCTTTAAAGCCTTTTTTATCTGAGATGAGAATTGCAACTTCAGGTTTTTTTTGTTTGTTTGTTTTGTTTTGTTTTTTTGCTCTCCGTTTGCTTGGTAAATCTTCCTCCATCCCTTTATTTTCAGGCTTTGTGTATCCTTGCATGTCAGATTGGTTTCCTGGATACAGCTCACCAATGAGTTTTGGCTTTTTATCCAATTTGCCAGTCTGTGTCTTTTGATTGGGGCATTTAGCCCATTTACATTTAGGGTTAATAGTGTTATATGTGAATTCATTCCTGCCATTTTGATGCTAGCTGGCTGTTTTGTCGATTAGTTGATGCAGTTTCTCATTGTGTTTATGCTTTTTATCATTTGGTATGTCTTTGGAATGGCTGGTACTGGTTGTTCGTTTCTATGTGTAGTGTCTCTTTCAGGAGCTCTTGTGAAGCAGGCCTGGTGGTGACAAAATCTCTGAGTACTTGCTTGTTCGCAAAGGATTTTGTTTTTCCTTCACTTTTGAAGGTTACTTTGGCTGGATATGAAATTCTGGGTTGAAAGTTCTTTTCTTTATGGATGTTGAATATTGGCCCAACTCTCTTCTGGGTTATGGGGTTTCTGCCAAGAGATCTGCTGTGAGTCTGATGGGCTTCCCTTTGTGGGTGATCGACCTTTCTCTCTGGCTGCCGTTAGCATTTTCTCCTTCATTTCAACCCTGGTGAATCTGACAATTAGGTGCCTTGGGGTTGCTCTTCTTGAGGAATATCTTTGTGGTGTTGTCTGTATTTCCTAGACTTGAATATTGGCCTGCCTTGCTCGGTTGGGGAAGTTTCCTGGTTAATATCCTGAGGAGTATTTTCCAGTTTGCATTCATTCTCTCCATCACATTCAGGTCTACCAAATGTAGATTTGGTCTTTTCACATAGTCCCATATTTCTTGGAGACTTTATTCATTCCTTTTTATCCTTTTTTCTCTAATCTTGTCTTATTGTTTTATATCACTGAGTTGATCTTCGACCTCTGATATCTTTTCTTCTGCTTGGTCAATTCGGCTGTTGAAACTCGTGTATGCTTCACAAAGTTTTCGTGTTGTGTTTTTCAGCTCCATCAATTCACTTATACTCCTCTCTTAGTTGTCCATTCTCATTAGCATTTCATCAAATCTTTTTTCAAGGTTCTTAGTTTCTTTACATAGCATTAGAACATGTTCTTTTAGCTCACCGAAGTTTCTTATTACCCGCTTTCTGAAGCCTTATTCTGTCAATTTATCAAACTCGTTCTCCGTCCAGCCTTGTCCCCTTGCTGGTGAGGAGCTGTGGTCCCTCGTAGGAGGAGAGTCATTCTAGTTTCAGGTGTTTTAATTTTTTTTGCATTGATTTCTTCCCATCTTTGTGTATTTATCTACCTGTTGTCTTTGTAGTTGTTGACTTCCAGATTGGGTCTTCTGAGTGGACGTCCAGTTTGTTGATGATGAAGTTATTTCTTTCTGTTTCTTAGTTTTCCTTCTAACAGTCAGGCCCCTATGCTGTAGGACTGCTGAGGTCCCCTCCAGGCCCTGTTTGCCTGGGGATCCCCTGCAGCAGCTGCAAAACAGTAAGAGTTGCTGTCAGTTTCTTCTTCTGCTATATTTGTCCATGAAGGATACCCGTCTGATGTCAGTCTGAGTTCTCCTTTATGAGGTGACTCTTTGTATATATGGGGGTCAGGGAGCTGCTTGAGGAGGCAGTCTGTCCCTTATAGGAACTCAAGTGCTGAGCTGTGAGCTCCATTGTTCATTCAGAGCTGCTGGGCAAGTAAGTTTAAGTCTGCTGCAGCAGAACTCATAAGCCTCCTTTTTTTCCCTGGGTGTTTTGTTTCAGGGAGTTAGGGCTTTATTTATGAATTTCTGTTGTACTGCTGCCTTCTTTTCAGGGCTGCCCTGCCCAGTGAGGAAGCAGCCTAGTCACTGTCTGCCTGCAGAGGCTTTTCTGAGCTGCTGTGGGCTCTGCCCAGCTGCTGTGTGAACTTACCTGCAGTCCTGTTTACACAGTATAGTTAGAACTGCCTTGGCAATGGCAGCCCACCTCTGTAGTGGCAGACTCTATCTGTAATAGTGGGCGGCCTCAGCAATGGTGGGCTGCCTCAGCAATGGCAGACTACCTTCGTAGTGGTGGAGTACCTCGGAAATGGCAGATGCCCCTCCCCCACAGAGCTGGACCTTCCCAGGTTCAGCTGTGCTTGCTGTGAAACTCTCAATCCAGAGCATTTTCAATTGCTGTTTTTTTTATGGGGGTGGGACCAGCCGAGCCTGATCACCTGGCTCCCTGCCTCAGAGCCTTTTTTTTTTGTAATTGAACAGTTGACTGTCTCCCAGGTGTTCCAGTTGCCTGTTCAAAAGGCGCCGGGATCTGTGTCATTTCCCTTGCAGTGACCCACTGCACCTGCACCAGCTGAAACAGCCATGCTGAGATTTGTGGCGCTTTTTTGCCCAGGAATCTCCTGGCCTGGCTCCCTGTTTCAGTCCCCTTTTCTATCAGTTGAATGGGCGACTCTGTCTTCCTGGAGCTCCAATCACCAGCTAAAACAGTGCTTGGACCCATGTATTTTGTACAGAGAACCGCTGCACCAGAGCAGCAGCCAAAACAGCCATGCCGGCCATAACAGCCACACCAGGATGCCAACCAAAACGGCTGTGCAGGCCGAAACAGCCACAGTGGTGATCTGTGGGCTCCTCTGCCTGGGAATCTCCTAGTCTGTGGGCAATTAAAATCCATCTGGAAAAGCGGCATCCACTCTCCCTCCACGCTTTCACTGGGAACTGCAATCCTGAGCTGCTCCTAATTGGCCATCTTGAATCCGTCCCCTTGGTGAGCTTTTCTTCATATGTTTGTTGGCTGCATAAATGTCTTCTTTTGAGTAGTGTCTGTTCATATCCTTTGCCCAGTTTTTTATGTTTTTTTCTTGTAAATTCTTGAAGTTCCTTGTAGATTCTAGATATTAGCCCTTTGTCCGATAGATAGATTGCAAAAATTGTGTTCCATTCTGTAGATTGTCTGTGCACTCTGATGATAGTTTCCTTTGCAGTGCAGAAGCTCTTTAGTTTAATTAGATCCCATTTCTCACTTTTGGGTTTTTATTCCATTGCTTTTGGTGTTTTAGTCATGAAGTTATTGCCCATGACTATGTCTTTAATGGTATTGCCTAGGTTTTCTTCAGTGATTTTCATGGTTTTAAGTCTTACATTTAAGTCTTTAATACATCCTGAGTTAATTTTTCTATAAGGTATAAGGATGGGGTCAGTTTTAGTTTTCCGCATATGGCTAGCCAGTTTTCACCATTTATTAAATAGGGAATCCTTTCCCCATTGCTTGTTTTTGTCAGGTTTGTAAAAGGTCAGATGGTTGTAGATGTGTGGCATTATTTCTGAGGCTTCTTTTTGGTTCCATTGGTCTATATATCTGCTTTGGTAATAGTATCATGCTGTTTTAGTTACTGAAACCGTATAGTTTGAAGTCAGGTAGCGTGATGCCTCCAGATTTGTTTGTTTGTTTTTCCTCAGGATTCTCTTGGCTATGTGGGCACTTTTTTGGTTCCATATGAAATTTAAAGTAGTCTTTTCTAATTTCATGAAGAAAGTCAGTGGTTGCTTGATGAGGATAGCACTGAATTTCTAAATTACTTTGGGCAATATGGCCATTTGCACAATATTGATTCTTTTTATCAATGAGTATGAAATATATTTTCATTTGTTTGTATCCTTTTTTATTTCCTTGAGTTGTGGTTTGTAGTTCTCTTTGAAGAGTTCCTTTACATTCCTTGTAAGTTGTATTCCTAGGTATTTAATTCCCTTTGTAGCAATTGTGAATGGAAGTTCACTCATGATTTTGCTCTCTATTTGTCTATTATTGTTGTATAAGAATACTTGCGATTTTTTCACATTGATTTTGTATCCTGAAATTTTGCTGATGCTGCTTATCAGCTTAAGGAGATTTTGGGCTGAGACAATGGGTTTTTTTTTTTTTTTTTTTTTTTTTTTTATTGTATTATAGGTTTTGGGGTACATGAGCAGAGCATGCAAGACAGTTGCGTAGGTACACACATGGCAGTGTGCTTTGCTTTTCTTCTCCCCTTCACCCACATTTGGCATTTCTCCCCAGGCTATCCCTCCCCACCTCCCCCTCCCACTGGCCCTCCCCTTTTCCCCCCAATAGACCCCAGTGTTTAGTACTCGACAATGGGGTTTTTTAAATATACGATCATGTCATTTGCAAAGAGAGACAATTTGACTGTTTCTTTTCCTATTTGAATACCTTTATAGCTTTCTCTTGCCTGATTGCCTTGCACAGAACTTCCAATAATATGTTGTATAGGAGTGGTGGGAGAGGACACCCTTGCCTTATGCTGGTTTTCAAAGGGAATGCTTCCAGCTTTTGCCCATTCAGTATGATATTGCCTGTGGGTTTGTCATAAATAGCCCTTATTATTTTGAGATACTTTCCATCAATACATAGCTCATTTTCTTTTCCTATTTGAATACCTTTATAGCTTTCTCTTGCCTGATTGCCTTGCACAGAACTTCCAATAATATGTTGTATAGGAGTGGTGAGAGAGGACACCCTTGCCTTATGCTGGTTTTCAAAGGGAATGCTTCCAGCTTTTGCCCATTCAGTATGATATTGCCTGTGGGTTTGTCATAAATAGCCCTTATTATTTTGAGATACTTTCCATCAATACATAGTTCATTTAGAGTTTTTAGCATAAGGGGTGTTAAATTTTATTGAAGGCCTTTTCTTTATCTATTGAGATAATTATGTTGTTTTTGTCATTGGTTCTGTTTATGTGATGAATTATGTTTATTGATTTGCATGTGTTGAACCAGCCTTGCATGCCAGGAATGAAGCTGACTTGAATGTGGAGGATAATCTTTTTGATTTGCTGCTGGATTTGGTTAGCCAATATTTTACTGAGGAATTTTGATCTATGTTCATCAGGGATATTGGCCTGAAATTTTCTTTTTTTTTTTGTTTCTCTTACAGGTTTTGATATCAGGATGATGCCGGCCTCATAAAACGAGTTAGAGAGGAATCGCTCTCTTTCTACTGTTTGAAATCATTTCAGAAGGAATGGTACCAGCTCCTCTTTTTACCTCTGGTAGAAGTTGGCTGTGATTCTACCTGGTCCTGGACATTTTCTGGTTGGTAGTCTATTAATTACTGCCTCAATTTCAGAACTTGTTATTTGTCTACTCAGGGATTCGAATCCTTCTTGGTTTAGCCTTGGGAAGGTATATGAGTCCAGAAATGTATCCATTTCTTCTAGATTTTCTAGTTCATTTACATAGAGGTGTTTATAGTATTCTCTGATGTTAGTTTGTATTTCTGTGGGATCAGTGATGATATCCTCTTTTTTTATCATGTCTATTTGCTTCTCCTCTCTTTTCTTCTTCATTAGTCTGCCTACTGGTCTATCAATCTCATTAATCTTTTCAAAAAACATCTGCTGAAATCACTGATTTTTTGAAGGGTTTTTCTTGTCTCTATCTCCTTTAGTTCTGCTCTCTTCTTAGTTATTTCTTGTCTTCTACTAGCTTTCAAATTTGTTTGCTTTTGCTTCCCTAGTTCTTTTAATTGTGATGTTAGGGTGTTTATTTTAGATCTTTCCCACTTTCTGATGTGGGCATTTGGTGCTGTAAATTTCTCTCTAAACACTACTTTAGCTGTGTCCCAGAAATTCTGGTATGTTCTGTCTTTATTCTCATTGGTTTCAAATAACTTATTTTTTTCTGCCTTAATTTTATTATTTACCCAGTAGTCATTCAGTAGCAGGTTGTTCAGTTTCTATGTAGTTGTGTAGTTTTGAGTGAGGTTCTTAATCCTGAGTTCTAATTTGATTGCACTGTGGTCTGAGAGACTGTTTGTTATGATTTCCATTCTTTCGCATTTTCTGAGGAGTGTTTTACTTCCAACTATGTGGTTAGTTTTAAAGTGGGATGTGGTGCTGAGAGGAATGTATATTCTGTTGATTTGGGGTGGAGAGTTCCTTAGATGTCTATTACATCTGCTTGATTTAGAGTCAAGTTCAAGTCCTGAATATCATTGTTGGTTTTCTGTCTCACTAATCTGTCTAATATTCACAGTGGGTGTTTGAAGTTTTCCACTATTATTGTGTGGGAGTCTAAGTCTCGTTTTAGATGTCTAAGAACTTGCTTCATGAATCTAGGTGCTCCTATATTGGGTGCACATACATTTAGTATAGTTAGCTCTTCTATATTCATTGATCCATTTACCATTATGCAATGCCCTTCTTTGTCTTTTTTGATCTTTGTTGGATTTGAGTTCTGTTTTATCAGATATTAGGATTGCAACCCCTGCTTTTTTTTTTCTTTCCATTTGCTTGGTAAATATTTCTCCACCCCTTTGTTTTGAGCCTATGTGTGTCTTTCAACATGAGATGGGTCTCCTGAATACAGCACACTGATGGTTCTTGACTTTTTATGCAATTTGCCAGTCTTTGTCTTTTAATTGAGGCATTTTGCCTGTTTACATTTAAGATTAATATTGTTATGTGTGAATTTGATTCTGTCATTATGATGCTAGCTGGTTATTTTGTCCATTAGTTGATTAAGTTTCTTCATACTGTTAATGGTCTTAATAGTTTGATATATTTTTGCATTGATTGGTAACAGTTTTCCTTTCCATATTTAGGGCTTCCTTCAGAAGCTCTTGTAAGGCAGGTCTGGTGGTGACAAAATCTCTCAGCATTTGCTTGTCTGTAAAGGGTTTTCTCCTTCAATTATGAAGCTTAGTTTGACTGGATATAAAATTCTGGGTTGAAAATTATTTTCTTTAAGAATGTTGAATACTGGTCCCCACTTTTTTCTGGCCTGCAGGGTTTCTTCACAGAGATCTGTTATTGGTCTGATGAACTTCCCTTCTTTGGTAACCTGAGCTTTCTCTCTTGCTGATCTTAGTGTTTTTTCCTTCATTTCAACCTTGGAGAATCTGAGGATTATGTGTCCTGGGGTCGCTATCTTTGTGGTGCTCTCTGTATTTACTGAATTTGAACGTTGGCCTTTCTTGCTAGGTTGGGGAAGTTCTCCTGGATAATATTCTGAAGATTGTTTTCCAACTTGGTTCCATTCTCCTCATCACTTTCAGGTACATTAATCAAACATAGTTTTGGTCTTTTCAAATATTTCCATATTTCTTGGAGGCTTTATTCATTCCTTTTCATTCTTTTTTATCTAATTTTATCTTCACATTTTATTTTATTAAGTTGATCTTCAGTCTCTGATATCCTTTCTTCTACTTGATTGATTCAGCTATTGATACTTGTGTTTGCTTCATGAAGTTCTCATGCTGTGTTTTTCAGCTCCATCAGGTGATTTATATTCTTTAAACTGGTTATTCTAATTAGCAATTCCTCTAACCTTTTTTCAAGGTTCTTAGCTTTCTTGCATTGAGTTAGAACATGCTTCTTTAGCTTGGAGGAATTTATTATTACTCACCTTCTGAAGCCTAGTTATGTCAGTTCATCAAACTCATTATCTATCCTTGTTCCCTTTCTTGCAAGGAATTGTGATCCTTTGAAACAGAAGAGGCATTTTGATTTTTGGTATTTCAGCCTTTTGCACTGGTTTTTCCTCATCTCGTGGCTTTATCTACCTTTGGTCTTTGATGTTGCTGACCTTCTTATGAGGTTTCTGTGTGGACATCCTTTTTGTTGATGTTTATGCTATCCCTTTCTGTTCGTTTTTTCCGCCCCTCTGCTGCAGGTCTGCTAGAGTTTACTGGAGGTCCACTCCAGGCACTGTTTGTCTGGGTATCACCAGTAGAGGCTGCAGAGCAGCAAAGATTGCTGCCTATTCCTTCCTATGGAAGTTTTGTTGCAGAGGGGCACCTACCAGATGCCAGCCGGAGCTCTCCTGTATGAGGTGTCTGTCAGCTCCTGCTGGGAGGTGTCTCCCAGTCGGGATGCTCGGTCAGTCTGTCCCTTAGCAGAGCTCAAGTGTTGTGCTCGGAGATCCACTGCTCTCTTCAGAGCTGGCAGGCAGGAATGTTTAAGTCTGCTGAAGCTGCTCCCACAACCACCCCTTACCCCAGGTGCTCTGTCCCAGGGAGATGGGAGTTTTATCTATAAGTTCCTCAATGGGGCTGTTGCCTTTTTTTCAGAGATTCCCTGCCCAGAGAGGAGGAATCTAGAGAAGCAGTCTGGCTACAGAGGCTTTGTGGAGCTGCTGTGGGCTCCACCCAATTTGAACTTCCTAGGTGGCTTTGTTTACACTGTAAGCTGAATACTGCCTACTCCAGCTTCAGTGATGCAAATGCCCCTCCACTCACCAAGCTTGAGAGTCCCAGGTCAACTTCAGACTGCTGTGCTGCCAGCAAGAATTTCAAGCCAGTGAATCTTAGCTTGCTGGGCTTTTTAGAGGTGGTTTCCAGCACACTAGACCACTTGGCTTCCTGGCTTCAGCCCCCTTTCCTGGGGAATGAACAGTTTTGTCTCACTTAAGTTCCAGGAGTCACTGGGGTATGGAAAAAAAAAAGAAAACTGCTGCAGCTAGCTTGGTGTCTGGCCAAATGGCCACCCAGTTATGTGCTTGAAACCCAGGGCCCTGGTGGCGTACGCAGACTAGGGAATCTCCTTGTCTGCTGGTTGCAAAGACCATAGGCGAAGTATAGTATCTGGGCTGCAGTGCACCGTTCCTCCTGGCACAGTTCCTCACAGCTTCCCTTGGCTAGGGGAGGGAGTTCTCCAACTTGCACTTCCCAGATAAGGCAATGCCCCACCCTGCTTTGCCTTGCCAAATGGGCTGCACCCACTGTCTAACCATTCCCAATGAGAAGAGCTGGGCACCTCAGCTGGAAATGCAGAAATAACCTGCCTTCTGCCTTGATCTCACTGGGAGCTGCAGACCAAAGCTGTTTTTATTCAGCCATCTTACCAGTGACCCCAGTAATTACTTTAAATGCAAACAGATTCTTTAATCAAAGGACAAAGATTGGAAGAATGGATTTAAAAAAAACCCCACATAATCCAATTATATGCTGTCTATAAGAGACCAATTTTCAATCCCAAGACAAATAGAAAACGAAAGGATAGAAGACTATATTCAATGCAATAGTAACTCAAAGGGATCAGGGGTGGTTGTACTAATATTAGAAAAAAATAGATTCTGAATCAAACATGATTATAAGAGATAAATGAAAATATTATATGTTAACAAATGGTTTAATAAACCTAATATAAAATTATAAAATTTATACACTTAGTGATGGATCATTAAGATATGTGAAGTAAAAACTGATAAAATTGAAGGAAGAAAACAGATAGTTCTATCATAATAGTTGGCGATTTTAACATTCCACCTTCAATAATTGATAGAACATCCAGACAGAAGTAAGGAAATAGAGGGCTTAAACAACATAATAAACTATATCTAACACATGCAGAACACTACACATCAATAGTATACACATTTTTCTCAAGTGCATGTGAGACATTTTGAGGCTAGATGATATGTTAGGCCACAAATTAAGCCAGTCTGCCAGTGTTTGCTTCATATATTTTGAGGACCTATTGTTTAGTGTGTACATGTTTATAAGTGGAATATCTTTCTGACCTTTTTCTCAATGCATAATGTCCTAGTTTTACTCTTATAATAGAAGTATTTTTGCCTATTTTGTCTGACATTATAGCCACACCAGCTCTCTTTTACATATTATTTGAATGGAATCTATTTTTCATTTTTTCATTTTCAGTGTGATTTCACCTTTGGATCTAAAAGAATTCTCTTGTAGACAGCATATAATTTAATCATGTTTGCAAATACGTACTACCAATTTCTGCCTTTTCATTGAGAGTTTAATTTATTTATATTTTCTGTAATTACTGATAAGTAATGACTTTACTTTTGCCATTTTGCTATTTGCTTTCTGTATGTCTTATATCGTTTTTGTCCCTCATTTCCTCAATTGCTGCCTTTTCTGTGTATTTAGTTGACTTTTTCAAGTGCCCTGTTTCTGTTGCTTTCTCATTCTCTCTTGTTTATATGCTTAGATTTCTTATGGTTACCATGTGGATTACATTTATTACCCTAAATTTATAACAATTTAGTTTGAATTGATAGTAATTTAACTTTAATAGCATACAAAAAATAAGAATCAGGTGTTAATTTTATTGAAGATCCCCTAT